GTTAGTTGGTTATGTATTTTTTAAATAAAAAAAAAAATTTTGAATTTACTTACTTGTAGCCGGAGTTAGAGGCGGTCAGATACTTATGACCGCTACTGTAGGTGGCGCTGGTTTGAAGAGAAAAATTTCGACAGGTAAAATGCGTAGAAAATCAGATTCAAGTTCTCAGAGTTCAATGGTAGAAAGTGATACGGTTGAGATCGTGACAGAGCGTAAAGTTATTCAGTTTTCTGCCGATGAGGATTTAATGAGCATTATCTGGACTACTAACCCCAAGGTGGATCTGGAAATTGTTGTGGATACGTGTAAGTACTATCTAGATATTTAGGATATTCACGTGCCGATTCTACCAAATGTCTGATCAGTTAATTTATGCATGGCTGTTTTTGTAGCACAACAACCTTTCTCTTCGTATACTTTCCCAAAGATGAAGGCAGTCTTCGGCTTGAAGGCAGACGATTATAACGAATTATCCCTTTTTGATGGAGGTGTCAAGGATACTCCGAAAGAGATTCGAAGTTTGGTTATAGATGAATTATTGAGATTACACAAAACATCCCAACACATCACTAGCGCCAATGAAGCCACTCGTTGCGAGTTTATTTCTCGTATTATTTACGGTGTTGCATCAATCTTTGATGGTGAGGTGAAAGTTTATCCCCAATACGAAATTTCTGGAAGCCATGGCAAAGGACCAGTTGATTGGGTCATAAAAGTGGGAAATACAATCATCACAGTTACTGAGGCGAAAAAAGAGGACATCAATCAAGGTATTGCATAGAATGCAGTCCAACTGCAGACATCCATCCAGCGCAATTCTAAAAAACGTAGCTACGATACAGCAGGTTTACATGAGGATGTAATGTATGGGATTGTATCAACTGCTGTAGATTGGGTCATAATCAAACTAGTTTCGTCTAGCTCTGAGAATAATAGTGAAGGGAAGGTAGAAGTGTTGTTGAGTTCTTTGTCGCCCTCACCACTACCAATTAATAACTCTGTTTTAACCCGTGAGGACTTGGCAAAGCCTGTCGAAAGCTTGTTTGGGCAAATCAAGTGGGTGTTTGATAGTCAGATCGAATCACAGGGTTTATCGAAGCGGGTAAAAACAGAATAATAGGATAGAATATTAACATAGACGTCATGTATCCTGGGCTACGTCCCGAACTTTGTATTTATTTTTCGCATATATTAATAAAAAATTTTTACTTGGTAAAAAAGGATCGGCGTGAACAATTGTCCACGTACACGTGATTTTTTTATTTCTAACATTTGACGTTCAAACTACTGTCCGAAAAAAGATCTTTGAAGCTTTGCATTGTGTATTTGAGAAAGTTTTAGCATTGACCCCTTGTTGATCGGGACAAGGGTTCGATTCCGACATTTTTTATTTTATGATTCATTTATAAAAATAAAGATCTCGCTTTGAATTTCTTATATGGATTTTGCAATCTTTATTAATATATTATAAAATCCTCCTGAAAATAGATTTAAATTTCTTTGAATATAGATCTAAATTCTTCATTAACATTATGACTAGAACCCGTTTTACTATTATTAGAGCCCACACTTCCTGCCTCACTATCAGATGACGCCATTTCTTCAGTAAGATTATCTGTTTCATCCTTTATGATCTGATTGAGATTTTTTAGTATGTGTGATAGAGATTCATCATAGAAGATAGCATTATTTACGTCCGGAAATTTCCATAAATGATATATCTTTCTATGTGTTCCAGAAATATCAATAACATATCCTTTTGTTCGCGCAAATCTGATATACAATTCACATAAATAACAGCACCTTTTGGATATAACTATAAATGCTCTACTTTTATCACCCTCATTTATTAGTACGTTGGTCAATATGTTCATTTCTGCGTGTAATTTTACAGTTTGTCTAATGTCTGCACTATCCAGTTGCATATTTTCGCCGTATACACGTCTTAAATTATCATTCTTTTTATCATCATTCAAACATGCTTCCTTGAAATTTTCATACTTTTCGTGATCGGTAATAAATCTTTTGATAACATTCTCCCAGGAAATTATGGACTGCTTGGCCATAATAGGCTCCAACATATGCACTTCCATATGAGAAAATAGAATTTTATACTTTGCGTTACATGCACAACTTATGATCTTGTTCAAGGACTCGTAGTAAGATCCCACCTTTTTGATATGTCCTAGAAATTTTTTCAAATATTTTGGGGTTGCAGGATCTTCAAGACTTTTGAATAGCATTTTTTGGTTTTTACGATATTCAAAACAAGTTATTGAAAAGTCGTATTTATTAATGTTATCCATATTCTTAGTGTCAATTGAAGCATACTTTATGAAAGATTTAATATGTTTGTTTCGATCACGAATTATATCTTTCTTGAGTTTTTCAAATCTAGATTGAAGTTTAACAGCACAGTACGTCATTATTTCGCTTGATAAAGCACGCACATCATCTCTTTTTGTTGCTACTTGCATTGTTATGGGGGCATCTTCAGATATTCTTTTCAGGTAATTTTCGATTCTGTTAATATGTATGGTATCATTCTCGAGCCAGTTATCGTTTTTAGCAATGTAAACACTACATCCATTAGTTAAAACTTTCAGCATTACCGCCACCACTTCTTTGTCTCTTGCTAGTATTGTTGCCAAGCTACTAGAAAATTTGTCAGTCTCCGTCAGTTTAGTGGTTTTGTCACTTACTTCGCCCGCAACAAATTTGATACTACTAGCAACACATGCTTTGCTGTACAATTCTTTCTCCTTTTCGAGCATTTCTAACTGTTTTTTCTCGTTTTTTGCCTTATCTCTTTTTTCTTTTCCTTTTATTCCCATTTTTCTGTGTTAGTAAGCTGATAAATATGGAAATAATTGCAGGTCGTACAAAAGCGAGCGCACCAATAAACTCATAAACTCGTAGATTTTACAAACCCTGATCGGCTGATAGTAGCAAATTTGTGGCTTCTGTCGGACAAAATCATGTGAAATCGATCACCTGAAAAATGCGCAGTATGATAGTGTAAATTGCATAATTCCCATTGTGAAAAAAATAATATCAACCATGTCAGTTACTTATTAGAGCTTGATTTATTGAATCTTCGCATTGTTTATTAGATTAAACCCGAGTTCATCGTATTCGAAAAGATTTAAACCTTTCACAGGATGAGCTAGAGCATCCAATAATGCGTTGTGTTCTAATACTCCAAATGAATTAGATCTAAAAAATGCGACAAATCATCCATTTTTTGCTTGCTCAGATAAATTAGGAAGGCGCATAGTGAATAGTCTGAGAAGGATAAAACGTTGACGAGCTTTCAGGTCTCGATAAAGCTTTTTCCAAGCATCTTCACCAAAATCTTTTTTATAATCCCATCCGTCATATAATTTGCTAGAAAACACATCATCATCTTCGATATCATCATCTTCTTCGTTGTCATCATCGAACAGCCAGAATTCATCGTCATCAGTATCGACGCCTAACCCAAATTTATTATTACCGTCACTAGGACCAGAAACGATTAGTAAGCTTTGTTCCATAGCTGGAGAGATATTTACTAAGATATACTTATCTTTAATTTACGTTCAAAAACCTCTTCACCTAGTCAGAACAATCAGGCGCTAAAGCATAAGCAGTATCATGAATGTTTGGTCACAGTCCAGTGTGCCGTTGCTGAAAGCGCTCAAGGCAGGTGCTTGACTTTGTCGTCTCTGGCCCAGCAAAGCCACAGGATCAGTGCATCAATTGCAGGAATACATCCTTATGCAAATTTTTTCTTGGTAAATTTCGCTTATGGCCCGTGAGGGAAAATCATGTGATATAGCAGAAGAATAGGTTCGGCAAATTTCAGCGAACTGAGTTCGCCCAAAATCACATTGCAAAATTACCAATGCCGAAGCTGGTCATGAAAATTTGAACCAGAAAGTCATTCGTTGTTATTACTTTGGAGAGGCTTTGTCCCGACGCCTTGACTTTCATAAAAAATCTAAGGAGGAGCACGAGGCCCAGAGAGAGGTGAATGATGAAGTTAGGGATCAGCTTCCAAAGGAGGTAACTAAAACTACGCTTTGGAAGAAAACAGAGAGAGCTCGGAAAATTTATGATCTATTCTGCCGTATCGGATCCGACAAGATACAACGAGTAAGATCTTTTACTGTTTCAAAATTAAGCTGGGATAAGATTGATTATGTAGTTAGCCAGATTTCAAAGAATACTGCGTAATGTTTCACGTGATAGCCTTATTGTGAGACCCTGACCCGAGGTCAGGAACTCAATTTAGTATATATGCAGTGTAACAAAAAACATATGTATTTCCTAATAAATTTTCGATTTAATATGTGCCCGGAATCTCACTTGATGAAGTAATGCGGTCCTAAGTCAGCTTATCTCTTGGAGTTATTCTCTTGTGTTTCCAAATAAAAGCATGTAAAACATATAGGACATTTTTTTTCTCACAGATCAGTATTCCGAAATTCTGAATTTAGTATTGCTATATCGTACTTTATGATTATCATAAATCATTTGGGAAAGATAAAAGGATTTTAGATTTAGATTATCGTTTCATCTTGCACAACTTCACAATCTTTATATTGATTGAGAAATACTTTACAGAAAAATATGCAAAATTTTTTTTAAAAAAATGGCGAGTAATCCAAACAATAGAAGAGACCAACATCCTCAACGAAGACAAAGTCGAGAGGAACGACGCCAACAGGAATTTAATAATGCAGACAATCAGCGGAGACAACAAAGGCAAGCAGAGCTTTCGGCAAGAAGAAGAATTCCCTTTGGAGTTCCTTCCCAAAGTGATGGTGCCTCCGATACCTCTTCGACTGGTTCTACTTCAACAAACCAAAGTAGATTAAATAGCCAAGTACTCGGAGTTCTTGAACCTAGGTTAAGAGAAAGTAGAGAAATAGAAAGAGAGAGAGAAGAGAGGAGTCAGAGGGAGAGGAGAGATAGGGAGAGGGAGAGAAGTAGGAGGAGTGAAAGAATTAGAGTTCCTTTTAACAATAATGATATAGCTATTGTTGGTCAAGATACTGATAGTCATATTAGAGAATCTCAGGAACGTAATCAGGATTTTAATCAAGCATTATTAGAGACAGTTGATGCAAGTATGAGACGGACAGGCCGACCTCCTCGTTTTACTGAGCAATAAACTGCGGTTATTTGTTATTTGTATGTATTAATATAGGTCATATAACGTTGTGATATCATATTACAACTAATCTTAGCCGTTATGAAATTTTTTGTATCTGTACTCCACGTACATAATTGTCAATAAAGTTTCGCCAATTTATTTTTTACATGTGTAGAGTGTATGTAATGCATCGGAATGAATTTTTTGATCGTCGCTAACGAAAAAAATAAACACTGCGCCATATGATTAATCTATTCTTCTGCGCAATTTTGACAACTCATGCTTCTATTGATTGGAAGTGAATGATTATCACCCCAATATCGCGCCAAGTTAGCCGAAACATGTGATATCCTATTGTAAGGCATGATATCGAAAAAAATATTAATAAAGTTCACCCAATCAATAAATTCTATGTACAGTGTTACCGTTAACTGATAAACATATTGTGACATGCGTGCGATCCATTTTTCTGTCGCACAAGAGTACACAGACATGATCGGTGCATGTGGCTCAACAAACTTCTTCCAAGCTGGTGATCGACATTCCGGACCAGCATTGATCGGAACGAATTCCCAGATATTCACAAAGCTCGGGGTAATCGAACACAGCTACTACTCTATCCTGCTTTATATACGAGACTGTAATAAAACCTGACGTCCTATCATAAATGTGCATATACTTAGCCGAATTACATAATGGAATATATTGTGTGGGATTAGTAGTATACAAATCCATTGTCTTACGCCGATTATTCCTCGATTTTTTAGCCATTGTTACCAATCGGATTGCCTGTTTCAATTCTGCAGAGTGGTGAAGCTACAGGATTAGTGCAACAATCGCAGGAATACAACCTTATGTCTTGGCAAATTTCGCTTACGGCCTGTGAGGGAAAATCACACATCTTTTTTTTATTTTGAATGCTTATATACAGTGTATTAGTTATATATATAGAACATGTTATCCGAGCTTGAATTATTGAAACAGCGTATCACTGAACTTGAGGCTGAGAATGCAGAGCTTAGGAAGGAGAATACTGAGATCCACGATCTTAGAATCAAGCTCTCGGTGTCTGATGCTGAAATAGCTGAACTTAAGCGTAGGAATAACGAGTTTCTAAGAGCGAATGCAGAATATAATGAGAGGCGTGATGCTGAAAATGCCAAACTCAGGGCCGAGAATGTTGACTTTAGAGATAGACTCACGAAAGTGGAACAGAATCAGACTCTACAAAACGCCTTAACGGCAAATGATAATTCTTTTAACAACAATTCATCTAACTTTGCTTCAGCGCCTTCAGCCAATTTGGTTGCAGAGCCAACGGTAACGCAATATGAGAAACCGTCAGTGGATGAGGAAATGGATACTTCATTACCTGAAGAACCGATACCAGAGGAGTTAACAGAGGTAATCATATCAGCTGTTAATATGTCTGTTATGGACTAATGTGATCAGAAATCCTTGAAAGATAAGGAGACGGTTGCTTTCTTGGATGAAGAATACAAGAAAAGGGTTAGCGATGAGATCAGATAGCGCAATAGAGAGAAAAAGCTTCGAGACTTGGGTTTACCTGGTACTTCTGATATCCCCTCGTCAGAATCATCCACAAGTTCGCATCCTATCCCTAATAACCCAGTCTTATCAGAACAAAATGCTAAAATAAAAGCACCTGAAATAGATATATAGCTTTTGATACAAGAATTGCTTATAGAACCTTCGGAAGAAGATTGTGTTAAGGTTGTTAATGTGGAGGAGAGTGATCAATCGCCTGCAATCGAATTAGCCCATCTATATGAAAAAATGAAATTTGCTGAAATTAGGACTATACGAGCCAAACAAGATGAAATCATGAGCTGGTATTGCTATAGAAGGTATTTTGAAAAAAGACATAGTGAGATTTTACCTGAAATTCTGGAGAATGGAGTTATTACGAACAAAAAAGCCTATGAACTTGTGAGTGGGCAGATTTATGATGAAATGCTACAGTATCTTTCAGGAGTCTCTCGTGTAAACTTGCGCAAAAAAACCCAGCTAACTAAGCCTATATATATGTTATTTAACGAAATTGGAGAAGATATGATTATGCAAATCAAAACTTATAGCGCAAATAAACTCTCAAAGTTAACTGTCATGCAAATCGATACTATTAAAACAACACTGCGTGAAAAAAATTCACGCACTCACGTGACTTCGGAAATAATCACCGGTGATGCAACTGCACCTGTCGAATCTATGGTAAGCGTTCCTAATTCTTTAGGTGATTCCAAAGTAATCGGTCCAGATAATTCACCACCTATTCCACCAGCGCCACAAGTTTCACATGTTCTTATCAAGATATCTAAATTCCCTGAAGATAGGAATATCATCTATGAAGCTGTACGTAAACGTTTCCCTTTCTTATCATGGACTAAATCAATTACAAAATATCGAGATCATTTCGAATATACCAACTCTGAAGCCAAGTGCCCAGCATGTACGAGCATTCACACACATCGAGGCATATGGGGTGATTGGACTTGCCAAAGTAAAGATAATTTCTATTATCTTATGTGTCCCTGGGATATTCATCAAAACAAGAAAGTCAAAATTGCTACACAGGTTTGCTAGATCGATCATCTGGCCGAAGGCGCTTAACGCAAATGCGCAGAAGATGATAAAGGACTGAATCATCATCGTATCTTTTTTTTCGACTCACGTGGGTGGCTTAGATATTGTGCACACATCCGCAATAATACGTCACTGGCTCATGCGCAGTAGTGTGGTCCACTGCATCCGCAGTCATTATTTTTTAGAGAATCTATTAATAACCCCGGCCAAGAGCAATATTTTGCGTTACTATACTTATGAACATTCCAGTATGTTCTATCTCACTTGTTACGCAGTTCTAAATTACTAATAAAAAAAACAGATTCTGATTTACATTGCGGATCGTAAGACAGGGCGCTGTTAAAAAAGAAATTCTAGAATATATGATTTTCGGATCTTCGGATAAACGGTATATTTTTATTATCTTATTGACGTTGGCGCATTCAGATTACGTATATAGGTTAATCACATATTAATCTGTTTTTGAATAGGAATTAGTAATACATGTGTGATTCGTCATCTACGGATCTCGATCCATGATGAACAAATATTCCGATTTTTATTCTTACAATTGAAATAGGAGTAGGGTAATAATAACTATTCTACATAACGAACTTCCTTTTTTGGGGAGGCTGTGAACTTAAACAAAGATACTCACATGCGATCTTCTGTTTTGCAAGAGTTCTTAGAAGTAAACGGAAAATTTTGAGACACGGCATTGCTCCATTAGTGTTACATTAAGTTGTCATAGAACCGTAATTTGTCGGATTTACTTTTAAGCCGTATTGTTAACTTAATGGAGAGACATTTGTTATTAGACGGGATCCAGGCCGTTATAATGGCTTTAGCTGAAAAAATATAATTATGAAAAATATAGTTATGACAAATACACGTAATTTTTATTAAATCGGGTTAAATTCTCTTTTTGCGCATAGTAGGCATACAGTATAAAATAAACCTTTTTCCCAGCGCATTTACGCAAAATAACTATTGCTATTAAAAAAATCAAGCGATATTACCTAAAAAACTTGATCCACCAATAAAATCTCAATAAAATTACTACGCCTAATCATGTCCAGTTTGTCATTGCTCAACTCTTCGGGAGTCATGCCTTTTTTGACCTTAACCGCTGTTTTTTTGTTCATTGGTCTAGTGTTAATCATAGGGATCGCTACCATGTGGTCAAATCTCAAACAAAAAATTTCCGATGAACTTTCTGCACGTGTCACTAAAATCGTCAATGATCTTCATACAAAAAATAATACACCGGAAATCGAAAACATCTTCAGTAAACTCACTGCGGAAATTAATACTAAAATCACCAATGAACTTTCCACTCGCCTTTCTGAAGTTAATTCTTCCTTCATTGCAGAGCTTGTGAGAAACAACAATGAACTTAATAAGAAACTTACCGGAGAAATCGCTAAAATCAATTCACGTGATGCTGGCTACTTCTCTGAGACGCAGAACATTTTATCGATGATCAACGATATTGAAGAAGATTGCCGTAATGATTTTGGCAAAATTTCATCTGAATTCAATTCGGTCAGGGCCTCTATTGAAGCTCTCCAAAATGAAATGATCCAACGTTATGCAATTGCCCAAAGACTTCAGATCGAATTTGATCAGTTGAGTGAGAACCAATCCGAGGCTTTAAATCGATCACGTGGAAGCGCTAATTCTTCATCCGGTAATTCATCCAGTTCATCCAATTCATCTCTTGTGGAAAATAGGAACCGTTTTAAGAGAGTTTTTGACTCGGAAAAGGAAGTGGGAGAGGCTAATGACTATGCGCTTGAAACTGTGAGACGTAAAATTCGACATCTTACTGGGGAAAAGATTGGAAAGAGTACTGTAGAAAGTTTTTATTATGGTAAAGGGGAACTAAAATATACCACAGTGATGTCAATTATGAGATGGGTAGAAAGTAAAGAAATTGCTAGTTTAGATAATAATAATGCGAGTAGCGCAAATAATAATAACGAAAATAATATGGGGTAGTGAGAAGGAACTGCCATATTTGGCTTAGGGGCCGGCGTGATTCCTCCCTTTAAACGAGATCTACTCCAATGTCTTTTATTAGTTTCATTTTTTTTTACATAGCCGGCCGGCCCTTTCTCATGTATTACTTTGCAATAAAGAATGTTTTGATTGATTTTTAAAATGTGTGCGTTTTACAAATGTAAATATAAATCTATTACGTGTTATTTAGGTGATTATTAACTCTCATGATAGTAAACTAAATGATTCCCGATTTATACTTTCATTTGAGAGAAATACATGATAGCGTCATTATGCGTGTAAATAATCTATCAACTAAATGATTCCCATTTTATACCTTCATTTGAGATAATCTCTAAAACTGTATCTAAGAATATGTACATTTGTATTAGCTCAGCCAACATGCCCTATTTGCAATGGAAAACATGGGAATTATGGATTACATGGCTCATGGTACTGCGAAAATGGGAATCAGTTCCCTTATGATCCTGAATTAGCGAAGTTGTATTCCAAAGATAAGTTGGAATATTATCTTACCTGCAACACTTCAAGCAATAAACTCAAGTTCGCAATTGTAGCATAGACCGGTCATGTCAAATCGATGTGTGACGCAAGATTTACTTTTTCAAAACCAAAGTGTTATAATTTCTTCGAGTATGCATGTTAGAATAGAGGGTTATTGCACGAAAAAATAAAATCTGCTACTCCTTTGTATTGATCTAAAATGTATCTATTTTTAATGTTCTATTAATAAGCCGTGTATCGTCACGAAAATGGAAATTGGGGGTAACAGATCGACTTAATTTTTTATGTAATCACTAATTAATATTCCATTTTTGGTGAGTTAATTGGATTTGTCGTATTAACGAAAATTTCCCCCAAAGATTTTAGACCCACTGCGAATTATATAAAAAGGTAAGGCCTAGTTAGCACTCTTCGAATGCCGAATCTGAAGTTTCACATCTCAAGTAAACACACCACCCAAGTCTCAAATTTTGTAAATGTCCAAACCTCGAAGCTCTTTCCTCTCTGCAAGAATCTATCTAAAGGGCGAATTTGCTAGTAAATCGACCACGAGACTGATGGACCTATTTATGTCACGTGCGTCGGATGACTGCGCACATGATTGGTTTTTTGTGGCTTAGTTGATCGTCTGATAAAAGGTACTTTCCAAACCAAATCGCAAATCGTCGTTTTAGTTTTATACCACCGGTCATGGCAAAAGAAATCCACAAATACTTCGATAAAAAGTCAAGTGATTGGGGAATTCTTGATTTTTTGAACGAATGCGATATTGAACCTTTTGAAAAGAAAATTGATGCGTATATTAAGTCCCTTAATGGTATTAGTAAATTTGAGCAAGACAAAAGAAAAGAAAGAGCGCGTATACTTCTTGAAAGGTATTATAAGGCAAGTAAATAACTTTTTATCGATTGGGAAATGCAGTAGGAAATGAGTGCGTGGTGGGGACCTTCTTTGGTTCTTTATCATTCAAGACTTTTTGTTGAGCACTGAAACCGGTGTAGGGGCACAAGTGACCTTCTTGGTTGTTTGATGTTAAAGGCTTTTTGCCGACCCAGCATTGGTCCTGTTGGGGCACAGGTGACCTTTTCGGTTGTCTGATGTTCAAGGCTTCTTGCTGACCTGATAGGTTGAAATCAAAATCCAAATCAGGGACATGTAATCAAGAATAATACTAACTCACTGATATATAATAGAGTAAATTAGATTATAATCTTGCTCGAGATTGGGAAAAGGATCGTAAGTCTTGCAGTGGAACTTCCGTTAACCTTTACGGAAACTACACGAATAATGGAATGACATCATATGGGAATTATGCGACGAATACCTCAACTACTACTAAACGCAAGCGGAAAAGTCTTAGAAAGAAGGAAACAGTGTGTTACGCCGAAAGCTCAGAGACGGATGCAAGTTCCGATCCCGATTATGAGCCTGAGAGTGTAAGTAATACCAGTGTATTTAGTTACAAAACTAAGATTATTAAAGTTCTTTTGTTTCTTTTACAATCTGATTTAGGTTAAAAGAAAATCCACCCGGATAGAGACCGATGATTTACCAGACACAGAAAGCTCAACAGAGACGGATGCAAGTTCCGATCCCGATTATGAAGAGTCCGTGAGTGTAAGTAATACCAGTGTATTTCGGTTACGAAGTTAGGATGATTATTAACGTTCTTTGTTTCTTTTACAATTTGATTTAGACTAAAAAAAAATCCACCCGGATAAAGACCGATGATTTATCGGAATTTGATCTCATCTACCGTAATCTTGATTCCAAAAAAATGTGGACTCTCAAATCGTCTGGGCGTGTTGTCGAAAAAGTTATTTATGATCATGCAAGAAAATTTAAACATGATTCCTACTTACACTCTTTCATTATAAACGATGCTGATGGAGTAGTAAAAGAACTATTTAACAACGATGAATGGAATGAAATGTTTTCCTCCAATCTCAAACAAGTACCAAAAATCGATAAAAATATTACGGATCTCTTAAAAAAATACACAGTACACGATTTATCCACCCTTCAAAAAGTTATGTTTGAAAAATTTTTTCCCGATAATGTTCCTTACTCAGCAGATTTAGACTATATTAACCTTGCGTATAGGTCCATGTATTCTCTATGGAAAGGAGAAGATGATTTTACTTCAGCTCCAAAACTGGAGGGATGGTTCGAAATGAATATTTGGGCCCATTTAATAGATCCTGCTTTTCGTGGAATGGAAATTGAGTTGGTGCGGGGAGAAGGATAGAGTTTTTCATCAAGCAATAGGAAAAATATTAATAGAACAATAAATGATCGAAAAAAATTTGGCAAAAAAGGGGACGGGATCTTTAGATTACGCAACAATCGCCTTGAATTTGGCGCAATTGAAGCTGGGAGAAGCTGGGAGGGAACAAAAGGAACCAAGCTCCTAACGGATTCCTTAAAAATGTGTAAAATGCTCAAAGACATGTTAAACGAACTTGCAAGTGAATGCAATATGAAAGAAGATATTGTAAGAAAGTTACAAGTAGCCGGGATTCTCCAAGGAGCCAATATGATGCAAGTAATTACTGCTGATCTTCCAATGGGTTATGTTACTCGTATCCGTCGTCGAAAATTTTATGAAGTTCCTGGTTATCTAAACAAGAATCAACCGCTTGCATTCATTATAATGGATGTTTTATTTGTAAAATCTATAATTAAGCAAACATTTAACTTGATTAATGACGAGTCAAAAGTAGATTTTCAACATTTTCTCAATGGCTATTACGAAAATGATGGATCTGAGACAACCCCTCAAAATAGTGTATCCCTTACATCTTCTACTCATACAACTCCTAAAAAAAAACGGGTTCAAGATCTTCAAAAAATAGCGATTATAATAGTTATAGTGAATGACAGAGATAAATTTTTCGGTACTGCATCGGATGCACTTGTTGAAATTATAGAGATTTTTAAGGAGGTAATTATTCATTGATAAAATATACTCGTTTTTTATTTGCAATGTATCTTAACAATAAGTTTTGAAAATTTTCAGTTTTCCAAAAAGTTCATGGCTGAATCAAGTTGGAATTGGATAATTCGTTTTACTGTTCGTGGCTGGATAATATTGAAATTTATAATTTGACACTAGCTAGAATATATATAAAGATTTTACGACTAAAGCAAAGTTGGGATACAATAATTAATAATATAATAAAATTTGATTCAAAGGCGCATTGATTTTAAAAAAGTCTTTGTGTAATGGTATCATGAATAGTAACTGTGAAAGCATAAACGTCATATGAAAATCGATCACCTGAAATGCGCAGAAAATTTTTGCCAAGTCTTTTGACAGGATGTTTGAACCTGCATCATATATATATTGCGCTGTTGTCATTGAAATCTTAGCCATATTTCTATTGGCTGGAAGTGAGAAGAGTCTTCACGGATATCATATGACATAGCATGTATCACGAGCTAAAACTCCCGAACTTTTTTGTATTAATTTTCACATGCTCCCAATGATGTAATAATAACCGATCACAAATAAAAAAGAGAAAATTATTTAATAGGCCATATTACATATAACACAGTAGATCATTGATAAATATTCACGTATATCACATTATTAGCCGGTAAATCCTGCTTCTATTGGTTGGAAGTGAGAAGAATCTTAACGATTATCATATGATACAGTATACTACCTTATTTTCTTACCCGGCTTATCAATTCAACCCTTACCATGGCACCGTAATTATAAATAGGCTAACATGGATTTTTTTTTCATCTTATGGCGTCCCAGGAATCGATCACATTATTTCTAATGAGTTTGGGTCATAGAGTGGCTCCCAATCTTTTCTCTGAACCCCCCCAGAGAGTTGAACCTTGTTTGGCTTGCAAAAGGGAAATTATAAACTCACATGCAATGTTCCAATGTGGTCATACTTTTCACATTAGTTGTTGCAATGCATCTTCAGTCCGCAAAGAACGATGTCCAGAGTGCTGAAGCAATGTTATCGAACAGCTTGAACAACTCGGTTGGAAAAATATGAGTAGAGAAGAAAGATTGTTAGCTTTTATACATGAAGTGTCAACTGAAGTGATGGAAATTGATAGCAATTCATCAGAAGTAATCCCTCAGGACCAGCCCTCAGTGATTCTACGAAAATTATCTCGAAGAGTCGGCAAGGCCGATTCCAATTCCATCTATTGCTATTACGAATTTGGTTTAGCACTAACCCTTTGTCTCAATGAATTAATAGGGAAAGGGCAAAAGAGAGCACAACATGCATTAAATAAAGAGGTTCAGAATTATTTACCACCTGGCACTTCTCTAGCCGTGGCAAAAGATAAAATTAAAAAGGCTAGAAAAATGGTTAAACTTTTTATTGATGATCCATCTAGAATTCAATTTGTTCGTTCATTTTCTGTAGACCAGCTCTCGACTTTTAATGAAGACGATATCAACTTTATAAAATCAAAATTACCAAAGCCTGGGGCGCCATGAATATGCGAAACACCTCAAGTGTTTTATTATGTCTTTTTTATGTCTTTTTATGTCTTTATATCTTTATGTTGTACGTACAACGATATGTCATACTTCCCTTCAATAGAAACTCTTAGCATGTGGGTTTTATATTTAATATAAACCATACTAGATGAATTTGTAGATATGTCATTAGTTCTTCCCTTCAGTAGTCATTTTTTGTCTGTGTGATCTTTTTTTTTTCTCATAATTGATAAGTAGGAACATAATAGATAAATTTGTAGCGAATGGAGGGATAACAAATCTTATATGTCAAACTTTCATTATGCCTGAACATTTAAGCATTTAGCTTTTTCTGCTTGGCCAGCCAATTACAATAAAAGTACTTTTCATTTTTAAATGTGTTTTGCAAAGTTTTATTATATACTGATCGGGTCCTAAGGAACTTCGCAATACATATATTCTAATATACTATCTACCATCCATAAAAGTGACGGTATAAAACAATTAAGTATTATTTACAATTATGAAAAATAATAGCTAGTCTAAATTTGCTATTGATGCATCTATTCTACATTAAAAAACATCCTATTCCTCTCGCCTATCTGTTGCTCTACCATAATTGTTATTGATGGTAACATTAATGACGTTCGCACTTTGTGAAAAAGAGGAAAGTGTTAGAGTGACAGGTCTAGAGACTATGGGAGTCTCAGTAGAAGGTATTACAGGTCTTGATGATTTGGTTTGTTTATGTGGAGAGAAAGAAGTATCAGACCCGGTTTCAAGAGGACCAGGTGTTGAGAGTGTTGATGGCGTCATAGAATGTTGTGATCCTAGAAATAATAAATATTTTAGGGAGAATATCCTGGATTTACCAAAGTAAAACACGAATATCAGAAAAACAAATACCAGGTTCTTTCCAAAATTCCGTAGAGAACTGTTCATAATATTTTTCTCCAATAAGACTTCTCTTCTTCTTTTTAGTTACTACAGTAGTTGGTGGACCCTTTGCTTCTGCCCCAGATCTCTCATTAGTTGATAGTTAGTTTCTTAAGAGACTCTCAGCTTCCGCCTTAGCTTTCTTATAGGCCAGGGTCATTTATATTCACCAAAAATATTAGATCAAAGTTGGTTAAGTATAAGCAATGCGTCCCCAACTACTCGATTATCATATTACTTACATAGTATGCTCGAGTTAGAGCTAAGAATTTCTTATTACAATCTTCCCTGTGAAGTAATTGGTATTATTTGCTCGGTTGATTTCATTCGCAATATCTTCCCAAAAGTTTCTCTTATTACGGTTCGGGATTCAGTGGTATTCTTCATTCCCATTTTTACGTTCATCAATAAGCATTCGGGTTTGTTCTTCGCTCCACTGTGCAGACATTTTTAAGTTTATGAGAAAGGAAGAGGTAAAAAGACTCACTTATATAGGGCATGGTTGGAGCTTACTCTGAGTGAAGTAAGGACTGAGTAAGATTAAATTAGCTTCATATACAGTCAGCGCTTTAATTTTCGCAATGATTAATATAATGATTAATCGAAAAAATAAGGGTGGCTTAGTTACTGTGCGTGCAAAATCTGATTGGTTGATCCTCGTGATTTGAGTTACGGGAAGGTTGCGAGGAAGTGCCGGGAACTGTCTGAGAACCAGGTGATACAAATTTTTATGTTATACATCATATCTGGCTAATCCCTATTAATCCATAAACCGCATGTAAATATAAAAATAGCAATCGAATAAAAAATAAATTTTTATTTACTAGCATGTAGTCTCACAAATCGGCTACAAATCATCTAATCGCTAATCAGTAAATCTGTATAAATTTGAATGATGATATTATCTAGTATAAGTTGCTAAAGAATTACTAGAATTTGCTAAAAACGCTATAAATCACTAAAATCAGCGAAATTACTATAAACCACCTATACCCGTAAATGGTTAGAACTGACAAATATGGTTTAAATCCTGTAGTAGTGAAAGCATTAACTAATCTGCATTACAGA